GGGGGGGAAGTTGCTGAGAGACCCAGGGTGGAGTACTGCTGTGGCTGTCGGTGGCTACTCGCGTCGATGGAGCGTTTAGCTTATTTATTAGTTCTTTTATTTTTCTCGCAAGAACACAACACGCATCATAGATGGGAGTCCTTATACACATCATAGATGGGAGTCCTTATACAACCTCGTGGGAATATTCGTTAACAAACATCCTTTGCCGCGCTGGACGGGACTTGCCCCCTTTGGGGGGGGGTTTAAGAGATCTTCTTTTTTGATGCCGGCCAGAGACAAGTTTTTTCCGTTGGGCCCCCCCCCCCCCTCCGCACGAGGCATGGAATAACCAGGAGAAAACGGTAGCTGTACTGGAGTGTAAGAAGTGGACTGAAAACGCGGGATTTGCTATCGACAGGATAGGGAAAACACTTTTGAGCCACCTATGGCAAAGTAGTAAAGGAACGATTGGCGGTACGTCATCGGTCCTGTGGGAACAACGCTCCGTCCTGTCAAGGACGCGTGTTCAAATGGCTAACCGGTAAGGCATGCAAAACATTAGAGTACGCCTCCCCCCCTGACCGACATACGCTCTTTTGCTTATCCCTCTTTCCCATTACGCTGTTGCTCCTTGCCAAACAAACCGTGCCTGTGGTTTCCCGAAAATAATTTCCCTGCGAAGAGCTTACCGGCAGCCACACCCAGTTCTACGACAAGTTCACCTTCCGCAGCCTCACGGCCCAGCTCCTGGAGCACCTTTGGACCCTCCGCCCTTACCGGGAAAGCATCATCCGCTACTCGCAGGACAGCGCAAAGTAAGCGGCCGAAATCGCGTTTTTTTTTTTTTCTTCTTCTTCTTACCTTAAGAGAACAAATAATTCATCTCAGAGTCCGGGATAGATTGCCAATAATTGCATGGCTGTGTAGGATGACCGACTTATATTTCTACGGTTATTCGAGCGTAGTCTTTGGTGGCGGCGGTGGTGAAGACGTGGGGGGTGATGGCGGTGCTTGCTCTACCGTGATCTCTAGTTGTTACCGTCGCGTTTTGAATCAAGAAAATGCGGTCCGTTCAGCCTTTTCATTTACCCGTGTGAACTATTCCAATTGTTGAGAGGCGACTGTGTCGTTAGACATGGAAAAAATCAGTTGCAGACAGTTTTTTTTTTTTTTTTGCCGATTCCGAGGCGGGCGTTGGCTCCCACCGCGTCTGAGATGGATTTTCTTCGCCTGGTTTGCCCTCTGTACACGTCTTTTTTCACGGACGACCCAAATTTTAATTGCTGCTCTACGGCTACTGTGCTGCTGCTGTAGCTGCTGTAGCTGCTGTAGCTGCTGCTGCTGCTGCCGCTGCTGCTGCTACCGCTGCTGCTGATGCTACTAATGTTGCTGCTGCAGCTACGCCTACCACTGCTGCTGCTATAGCTCCTGCTGCTACTTGTACGAACCACGGGAAAAGGTACCCATCTCGCACCATAAAGGGTTTCAATTTTTTCTTCTCCGTCCCCGCGTGTTTTTCCTTTCAGGTTTGTTCGGTTCGCTAATATGCTCATCAACGACAGCATCTATCACATGGACGAGGCGGTCAAGTTCCTCTCTGCCATCAAGGCCGCACAGGTTGGTGCCCGTGTGTGTAACGGCGAAAGGGTTACGGGCTTATTTGACATGGACCGCGCTAACTGGCTGACCAATGAGAAGACGCCAGCCTTAAATGGCGTCATGTGTGTATTTGTCACGCCGCTGTTTGTCCGGCGTTGGCGTGTTTTTGTACACCATAGCCTTAGCTCTCTTAACTGGTACAAACCTCCGATCAGAGATCAGAGAGTGGCGTGTTTTTCTACACCATAGACTTGTCTCTGTTGACTAAAAATCTCCGATCAGAGATCAGAGAGTGACCCAACCTCTACCCGAGACCCACGCACCATGCTCCTCCTTTTGGCGACGGCTTTCTGGTCCGTTACTCTACCCTTTTCGTGTGTTCTTTCTTTCCTGCACCCGTTTTGGCGGCGGTTTTCTGGTCCGTCATTGTCCATTTTTTTTTTTTTTATTCTCTCTGCCCGTTTTGGGCGGTATTAAACTGTTATAGTCAGGGCTGTCTTGTTTGTCACGACAAGAGCAACTACAAACCTCAACAACAGCAACAGCAACAGCAACAGCAACAGCAACAGCAACAGCAACGCAAACGTCGTGTTGAGCGGCACTTGTTCCATAGAGGCCCGAACGGGTATTTGTTGCGACGCAAACGACGACAACAGCGGCATTGACCGGCCCTCTCCTGGCGTTCTCTTTTTTTTCATGGGCAGGCGCGAGCGGCGGACCAATCCCTGTCGGAGGAGGACAGGGCGGCGGCGCGGGAAGAGGCGGAACACTCAGGCAGAAGCGCCAAGTACTGCCTAAAGGAGGTACATATATAGTTACACTCAAATTTGGACTGTTTTTTGTGCTCAACCATGTCTCAAGGAGATACATATACCTTCATTTGATGTGCTTGCTTGCTCATGCGTGCTTGCTCACCCATGCCTCAAGGACGTACATGCAATTCATTGAAACGCCTTTTTGCTCGTCCATGCCTCAAAGAGGTATACATACCTTCATTTGAGTTGATTTTTTGCTCATCCATGCCTCAAAGAGATATGTTTACCTTCATTTGAAACTCTTGCTCATTCATGCCTCAAGGACGTACATGCAATTCATTTGAAACTCTTGCTCATTCATGCCTCAAAGAGATATGTTAACCTTCATTTGGAGCTCTTGCCCATTCATGCCTCAAGGAGGTACATTTACCTTCATTGAAGCTCTTGCTCATTCATGCCTCAAGGAGGTATATTTACCTTCATTTGAAGCTCTTGCTCATTCATGCCTCAAGGAGGTACATTTACCTTCATTTGAAGCTCTTGCTCATTCCTGCCTGAAAGAGATATGTTTACCTTCATTTGAAGCTCTTGCTCATTCATGCCTCAAGGAGGTATATTTACCTTCATTTGAAGCTCTTGCTCATTCATGCCTCAAGGAGGTACATTTACCTTCATTTGAAGCTCTTGCTCATTCATGCCTGAAAGAGATAGGTAAACCTACCTTCGCTTGAACCGGTACCACGCGACATGCTCGCTGTCGTACCTGTGCTGTGTGCGTCTCAACCTCGACGAAGACGACAAGTTCAAATGTGATTGCGGCTCCGAGTGCGAAGACCGTGTTCATGTAGTTGCGGAATATCGGTTGTACAAGAAGGAGAGGGAAGTGTACATGGCTGAGCTGGGAAAAGTACAAGGAAGGTACAGGGAGATGTTTGAGACATAGAATAGCCAGGAGAAGAAGGTAGCTGTACTGGGGCATAGGAAGCGGGTTGAAAAGGCGGGAAGTGATATCGGTAGAATAGACAGACTAGGGAAGCCATTTTTGAGCCACCTTTGGCAAAGTAGGAAGGAACGATTGGCCATCGGTGATCGGTCGTGTGGAAACCATGCTCCGTCCTCTCGAGGACGCGTGGTCAATGGTCTAACCACGAAGACATGCAAAACATAAGAGTACCCCCCCCCCCCGCCCCTGAACGTCATCCCGGGCTGTGAAAATATCCTTCTCGAAAAAATTAAACTTGACTTT